CTACATTTCCCATCACTGGGAGCCATAGCACCTGGAGTATCAATCCGCACTGACTGTCTGGGACTACATTTCCCATCACTGAGAGCCACAGCGCACGGAGTATCAATCCGCACTGACTGTCTGGGACTACATTTCCCATCACTGAGAGCCACAGCGCACGGAGTATCAATCCGCACTGACTGACTGGGACTACATTTCCCATCACTGAGAGCCATTGCGCACGGAGTATCAATCCGCACTGACTGACTGGGACTACATTTCCCATCACTGGGAGCCATAGCGCACGGAGTAACAATCCGCACTGACTGTCTGGAACTACATTTCCCATCACTGGGAGCCATAGCGCACGGAGTAACAATCCGCACTGACTGGGACTACATTTCCCATCACTGGGAGCCATAGCGCACGGAGTAACAATCCGCACTGACTGTCTGGGACTACATTTCCCATCACTGGGAGCCATAGCGCACGGAGTAACAATCCGCACTGACTGTCTGGGACTACATTTCCCATCACTGGGAGCCATAGCGCACGGAGTAACAATCTGCACTGACTGTCTGGGACTACATTTCCCATCATGCTCTCACACTGTCACTGCAGCTAATCCATGCTTTAATATATTGTATTCACTTCATTTCAGGCGCTGATGTCGCAGTTGGAGAGGCGCAGACGGACATACGGCCACGGAGGACGTCACCGTTAGGTATTGGAAGAATTGCCTTCTGGAAAACTAATTGACCCTGTAATCCCAGGAGTAAACCCATTACAGTATGCTGCCTGTCAATCATTAGTAGTATATAACGGAGTGCTAATGATAGGTATAGAGCCCTGTAACACACAGACAGGCCGCCAGTCACCCTGGTAACCAATAGTAAGAGGGGATCTGCAATATTCTCCATCACCTTTACATTCATGTATTATAATACACAGCGCGTTCCCGGATACTGCGCGTAGCATTGTGCAAGTGAAATGATGCCGCAGCTTCCCCTAAGGAAACCATATTTGTTTGGGATGAATTAAATGAAGTTACTTCTGCACATTCGAGTTTAACTATAGTTCCGAGTCACTTTTGAACTTGTTATTTCTCTGTCCTTCTTACATCATGTGTTCGCTGACCATCACAACCGTTAACTTGAGTTAATATTTTTTCATGTAATTCTCTGTTGTTTCCTATTTTATGTTTTTTTAAATATTCTGCAAACACCATCACAATCCAGTTCAGTCCAGACACAGTCGTGACACACATTCAGTTGGACAAGAAGAAACAGAACCGTCATTTAATATTCTATGTTCAATGTTAGAAAATGGAAAGGTTATGAATGACAGGCAGCCAAGCTGGAGGCAGAGGTAGATCTGGCAGTGGATTATTACATTTAACCTAATATTTCAGATCCTACAACACACGTGTTGAATATAGGGTGTAGGTAATGTTACACAGGCTAATGCATTCCATTCTGTATTTACTCACACCCTCATGTAGAACCTTATCCAGATTTGTATCTTCATAATTTCTGTCCAGAATGTAATTTATTATGATTATGATTATTTTTAACTCAGAGGGACCTGAACATGCTGTTGATATCAATGAGTTATGTTGAATGTTCACCTTTCTGTTGAACATATATTATTTTTTCCATTTCAGTTCAAATCCGCTATGATTATGGCTCATAGCTAATCTCACACTAATTGCAGACACACATCTCAGGATTATCCTTTCAGCACAGACTCTGACTAACAGGTCGATGATGAACAAGAACAGGAATCGGTTGTCTGAGAGAATCTTAAATATCACCCTGAAGATCATCTACCTGCTGACTGGAGAGGTGAGGGATTCTGGGTAATGTCAGCCTGGAGATCATCTACCTGCTGACTGGAGAGGTGAGGGATTCTGGGTAATGTCATTATGGAGATCATCTACCTGCTGACTGGAGAGGTGAGGGATTCTGGGTAATGTCAGTATGGAGATCATCTACCTGCTGGGAGAGGTGAGGGATTCTGGGTAATGTCACCATGGAGATCATCTACCTGCTGACTGGAGAGGTGAGGGATTCTGGGTAATGTCACTATGGAGATCATCTACCTGCTGACTGGAGAGGTGAGGGATTCTGGGTAATGTCAGTATGGAGATCTTCTACCTGCTGACTGGAGAGGTGAGGGATTCTGGGTAATGTCATTATGGAGATCATCTACCTGCTGGCTGGAGAGGTGAGGGATTCTGGGTAATGTCATTATGGAGATCATCTACCTGCTGGCTGGAGAGGTGAGGGATTCTGGGTAATGTCAGTATGGAGATCATCTACCTGCTGGCTGGAGAGGTGAGGGATTCTGGGTAATGTCATTATGGAGATCATCTACCAGCTGGCTGGAGAGGTGAGGGATTCTGGGTAATGTCATTATGGAGATCATCTACCAGCTGACTGGAGAGGTGAGGGATTCTGGGTAATGTCATTATGGAGATCATCTACCTGCTGGCTGGAGAGGTGAGGGATTCTGGGTAATGTCACCATGGAGATCATCTACCTGCTGACTGGAGAGGTGAGGGATTCCTGCTGACTGGAGAGGTGAGGGATTCTGGGTAATGTCAGTATGGAGATCATCTACCTGCTGACTGGAGAGGTGAGGGATTCTGGGTAATGTCACCATGGAGATCATCTACCTGCTGACTGGATAGGTGAGGGATTCTGGGTAATGTCATTATGGAGATCATCTACCTGCTGGCTGGAGAGGTGAGGGATTCTGGGTAATGTCAGTATGGAGATCATCTGCCTGCTGACTGGAGAGGTGAGGGATTCTGGGTAATGTCGTATGGAATCATCTACCTGCTGGGAGAGGTGAGGATTCTGGGTAATGCCATGGGAGATCATCACCTGCTGGCTGGGAGGGTGAGGATTGGGTAATGTCAGTGATCATCTACCTGCTGGCTGGAGAGGTGAGGGATTCTGGGTAATGTCAGTATGGAGATCATCTACCTGCTGGCTGGAGAGGTGAGGGATTCTGGGTAATGTCATTATGGAGATCATCTACCTGCTGGCTGGAGAGGTGAGGGATTCTGGGTAATGTCATTATGGAGATTATCTACCTGCTGACTGGAGAGGTGAGGGATTCCGAGTAATGTCAGCCTGGAGATCATCTACCTGCTGACTGGAGAGGTGAGGGATTCTGGATAATGTCATTATGGAGATCATCTACCTGCTGACTGGAGAGGTGAGGGATTCTGGGTAATGTCATTATGGAGATCATCTACCTGCTGGAGGTGAGGATTCTGGTAATGTCATTATGAGTCATCTACCTGCTGACTGGAGGTGAGGATTCTGGGTAATGTCATTATGGAGATCATCTACCTGCTGACTACAGGTGAGAGTTCTGGGTAATGTCACCATGGAGATCATCTACCTGCTGACTGGAGAGGTGAGGGATTCTGGGTAATGTCACTATGGAGATCATCTACCTGCTGACTGGAGAGGTGAGGGATTCTGGGTAATGTCAGTATGGAGATCATCTACCTGCTGACTGGAGAGGTGAGGGATTCTGGGTAATGTCATTATGGAGATCATCTACTGGAGAGGTGAGGGATTCTGGGTAATGTCAATGGAGATTATCTACCTGCTGACTGGAGAGGTGAGGGATTCCATGTCATGGAGATCATCTACCTGCTGACTGGAGAGGTGAGGGATTCTGGGTAATGTCATTATGGAGATCATCTACCTGCTGACTGGAGAGGTGAGGGATTCTGGGTAATGTCACTATGGAGATCATCTACCTGCTGACTGGAGAGGTGAGGGATTCTGGGTAATGTCATTATGGAGATCATCTACCTGCTGACTGGAGAGGTGAGGGATTCTGGGTAATGTCATTATGGAGATCATCTACCTGCTGGCTGGAGAGGTGAGGGATTCTGGGTAATGTCAGTATGGAGATCATCTACCTGCTGACTGGAGAGGTGAGGGATTCTGGGTAATGTCAGTATGGAGATCATCTACCTGCTGGCTGGAGAGGTGAGGGATTCTGGGTAATGTCATTATGGAGATCATCTACCTGCTGACTGGAGAGGTGAGGGATTCTGGGTAATGTCATTATGGAGATCATCTACCTGCTGGCTGGAGAGGTGAGGGATTCTGGGTAATGTCATTATGGAGATCATCTACCTGCTGGCTGGAGAGGTGAGGGATTCTGGGTAATGTCATTATGGAGATCATCTACCTGCTGGCTGGAGAGGTGAGGGATTCTGGGTAATGTCATAT